TGCTGGACCAGAAGCAACAGCTCTCAGCCCTGTAGGCTGAAGCCCACATGCTGTTGGCAGTGGTTTATAATGCACAAGCTTGTTCAGTCTATGCACCCTGCCCACTTACTGTGCCACAAGAAGCCTCCCTGCCCTATAGACCATGGAACAAGGACAACTCTTACAGTGAGTGCTCAAAAACAAACTTTCAGGCCAGCATATCTGTGTGTAACAACCTGTCCTGGCTGGGGAGGTGAGCTATGTGAAATGCTAGATTTGAGAACCTTAAGCCTTCTGATGGTGCAGTGGTTTTAAGGCAAGACACCACCAAAAGTTACTTGCTACCAAATGGGCAAGGGGCAGTAAAAGACAAAGGAACCAAAGATGGGGAGCACATGCCTCAGGATACCAAGCTGTCAATCACTGCTTCAGTCTCTTAGAAATCTCCTTCCTCTTCTCAATGCTATTATTTCTCAGCTGAAAAGCCACAGTTGCCTCAAACCACCGGAATTGTGCACTTCATCTAATTCAGCCAAAAAGAGGAAGAAAAAAAAAGAATCGTTGGTTCTGAGCTATATCAGAGCAATTTGTGATGTCCGAGTTTCTTGTCTCGCTCACACAGCTGTTTCTCATTGCTCCATTGCTTTCAGGGAGATTCGGGAGCAGATAATACTCAGCGGGGAACCAGAGGCCAAAAGGGTGAAATCGGACAAATGGTAAAGCTTCTTTGTTGTCTTTTGTTGGTTTTGTTTACACAATGAGATGGGATGGAGAAAGTAAGAGAAAAAGATGCTGCCAAAAAAGGTGCAAGCTCCTTGAATTCATTTCACCCCTTGTGCACTTCCCTTAGGGAGAGCCTGGACCTGCGGGGCAGAGAGGCCCAGACGGAGGAGTCGGGAGGCAGGTGAGATGCTAGACCTCCAGCCTCTCCTGGCTTTTCCATGTGATTAATTTCATGAGTGTCAAAAGTCACTGTTGTAGGGAGAAAAGAACTATACTCAAAAGGAAAACTGGGATATGTTTGCTGCTGCCAGCCCCTTGGCAGAAGCAAAACACGCTGCTATGCATGTGACTGAGCAACTCACCTATATATGGGGACAAAGGACTGCAATGAAGGAGAAAACATGACAGAACTTGGTTTGCAATAACTGGCACAACATGGAGCCTAGATTCCTCTCTCCCTCTGTCCCCTGTAAACTATTCAAAGTCAATTTTGCATTAAGAAGCAGAGATGTGCTATCCTGAAAGCAATAGAGAAGTGTGCATGCTTACATCCTTGTCTAACATGCCCCATTGTTTCTGTACTCACAGGGCATGGCAGGACGCAGGGGGCCAATAGGAGTCAAGGTAAGGATCTGCATAGTAACACAATAGAAAACACAGCAGGGTAGCAAAGTCCTAGTCTGCAGCAAGAGAGGATAAGCCCAAACACAGCAGCCACAGAAACAAAGGCAAAAGTCTACTTATCCTTAGAAGGCTTCAGGTAGACAGGAACCTCGAGTGAGACACCCTCACCTCTACTGCCAACCCTTGAATGAGGTCTGGGAAGGGGTGGATCCTGGCTCCATCCCTTCCAGTCACTCAGCTACACTGCTTGCACCTGTGCTCCCCTACCTTCCCACCAGGTGTTTAATCACTGCTTCAGGCCATGACTTAGCATTTCCACTACAGGTCTGGCACTGGTGCCTCCTGCTGCAGGATTTGCTTCCTCTTCCCTGCCTCATCTCACCTCCAAATGCCTCTACAATTCCACAGGCTCCTTCTTGCTGCTGTGAAATCAGGCTGGTGGCCGCTCCCCATGCCAGACCAGGCAGCATACTTGGGTCAAAGCATAAATGATAATAACGTACAAATTAACACTCACTGATTGTGGCAAATCGCTCCACTATTTCCACGCTCGTTCTTATTTTACAAAATCAACAAATAAAAACAGTTCTCCCCTGCCCTTTGTGTAGCCATAAAGCAGCTTCCCGTGCCCTGACACCCCCTGCCCTTGCCACGTGTCCTATATTAACCTGTGCTGTTCTGCACCTCCAGGGTACCAAGGGTGCACTTGGCCAGCCAGGGCCAGCTGGAGAACAAGGCATGAGAGGACCACAGGTCAGTGAGAGAAGGCAAAACGTACATCCTGTGGCAGCGTGCTGTTGCATTACCCCTTCCCAGGGCTTGGGCAGCAAGGTCTGGTGGGTTGGTGTGCAGTTCCCAAAGCGTGATGTATTCGGAAGCCATCTCTTGGGTTCTGAGGAGTTTGGTTTCCCTCCCAATCTCTGCTTGTGCTGGTGTGTCTCTCTCCCCATGCGTGTTGACGTATCTCTCCCTTCTTCTGCACAGGGCCCACCCGGCCAGATTGGCACTCCAGGCATCAGGGGAGAGCAAGGCGTCCCCGGACCCAGGGTGAGTCCTTCTGCCCATTCTCAGCCAGGGACCAGCAGGGCTCAGCCTGGACATCCCACTGAATTTCCTACAGTGCTTTGAGGGGCACCAGCCCTAGCTGTTGACCCGTGATTCCTACGGCCATGCGGGTTGTATTGACACACTGCCAATGCGCCTCTCCTTTCTGTTCCAGGCTGGTGGTGGGCAACCAGGAGCACCAGGAGAAAGGGGCAGGATTGGCCCGCTGGGACGAAAGGTATGTCTTCATGAGCTCTGGGAATCAGAACCAAAACAGCTACGAGGAGCATCGGAATTTAAATAATACTGGAGGTGAACCTCTTGGGGCAAAAGTAACTCATCTTTGTTGGTTTGTGCGGTGCAGACATGACTCTCTGCTGCAAAAAACACTCGTTCGTGAAAAGAAACCAGTGATGAAGGGTGTATGATTAAACAGATGCTCCTTTTTTCAGGGCGAGCCTGGAAATCCTGGGCCCAGGGGACCGAATGGACAGCAAGGCCCACGAGGAGAGATGGTAAGTGTGGTCATGGACCAGCTACAGGCTTTCAAAGCAGAGAGTTTAGCTTGCCTGTGGACTTTTTACTCTCCAAAGCACAATATTAGAGAGGGCAATCAGCCCCATGCCTTCCAGGCATGAGTGTAGTTTTACACCTTGTGTATATATGCTAAACAGACTTAATTCATTCTTGTTTAAACAGCACTTTTTTGTACTACTTCTCTAATAACTAATTTTCCAGGGCTTGTGGCATTGGTGTTTTTCTCTATCGATACCACAGGCTCTGTGAACTTTAAGATATTCAAGCGTGACTGAATATTAATGCCGTTTGTTTTCCAATTTTAGGGCGATGACGGACGAGATGGAATTGGTGGCCCAGGTCCTAAAGGCAGAAAGGTATGTGTGCTCAACATGGCTGCCTACCAACACAAGTTAGAAAGGACAAGGAAGAGCAGTCAGACCTCAAAAAGAGTGGCTCTTCTCTTCTTGTTAACTGCATGAGGAGCAGAATTGCAAGCTGAATTTGCAGTCTCTCCCACCTTTTCCTCCATCATTTAAATGTGTTGTTATTTATCCATCTACAGAAACAGGATCATTTTCTAAAGCCCTATTTTCAAACAACACTTCATATATTTTTTTTTCCAGGGAGAACGTGGCTTCGTTGGCTACCCAGGACCCAAGGTACAACGCAGCCCATGAACTATGGGTTCATTTTCCAATCAGCGTAGCCACGACCTAAAGATCTGTGCAGATCGTGAGCTACGGTTTCTGTTTGTCCCCATCCAGGGCGGACCTGGTGACCGTGGTGGTGCTGGAGGCCCCGGACCTAAAGGAAACAGAGGCCGCAGAGTGAGTATTCATTTGATGCAGTTTTTCCCCTATGCAAGAACATCCTGGAAGATGTGCCCGTCTCCTCTAAGGGTTGACTCATGCTTCTGGGATTCCTCCAGCAGACACTCACAGAGAGGACTTCTCTTTCTAGGGAAACGCTGGAAATCCTGGCACACCTGGTCAGAAGGGAGAGATCGGATACCCTGGTCCATCTGTAAGTGTTCATTGCACCCCAGGAGTCTCCTCATTGCCTGCATGAGAAACGTGACAGTCCCTATGTGTGCCAGGGGTTGGAAAATACGCCTATGAAAGTTACATATTGCACTCAATTATTTTTATTACTTTCATTAACAGGGACTTAAAGGTGATAAAGGACTATCCATCAGTGTAAGTATAGCATCATTTGAGCCTTATTTTGAGACATTGTTTTGTTGGCTCCGTCACGTTTATTTGCTCTCTCTGACTCTCTCTCCTCCTGTTTCCTAAAGCAATGTGCCCTTGTGCAGAACATCAAAGATAAATGCCGTGAGTACCTCAGTGCTTTGCTAATTCCCCACTGCTACCCTTATATGCCAGTCACATAAAACGAATGGCACTGACTGAACTGCTTTTTTTCCCCCCCCCTCATCTTTTTCACAGCTTGCTGCTATGGTAAGTTACATTCAGTCCTTTACATCCTGATGTTGTCGCGTGCAAGAACTGTTGTTTTCCCCACACGTGTGGTACAAATGATTGACTTCCACTGAGCAGGTGGTTCTTGCACCCTGACAACTGCCTGAGGCACAGTTTTTTTCCCAACCCGTGTTTTTGGCAGGTCCCAAGGAATGCCCTGTCTTCCCAACCGAGCTGGCCTTCGCTATTGACACCTCCTCAGGTGTCGGGAGGGATGTCTTCAACAGGATGAAGCAAACGGTGCTCAGAGTGGTCAGCAACTTAACCATTGCTGAGAGCAACTGCCCTCGAGGTGCCCGCGTGGCCCTGGTCACCTACAACAATGAGGTCACCACGGAGATCCGCTTTGCTGATGCCAGGAAGAAATCGAGCCTCCTCCAGCAGATCCAAAACTTCCAGGCAACCCTGACCACAAAGCCACGCAGCCTGGAGACTGCCATGTCCTTTGTGGCCAGGAACACCTTCAAGCGTGCCCGAAGTGGGTTCCTCATGAGGAAGGTGGCTGTCTTCTTCAGCAATGGGGAGACAAGAGCCTCCCCGCAGCTCAACGATGCCGTGCTGAAGCTCTATGACGCTGGGGTCACTCCTGTGTTCCTCACCAGCAGGCAGGATGCGGTTCTCGAAAGAGCTCTGGAGGTTGGGGCTGTTCACCCTTTCTTTCCTTTTCTGCTCCTGACCTCAGTTCAGTTCATTGGGAGATTGATGGCATGTTTCTCTTGGCTCTTCCAGCCACTGGTTGGCTTCTGTAGGCCTTTCAAGTGCTTAGTGCTGAGAAGCACTGCTATGCAAACTCATCCAGCATGTCTGTTAGAGAAATCTGAGATGCATGCTGCAAAACTCTAGCGATGTTGTGATGAGTTGTTTCCCAGACCACAGCTCCCACGTGCTTGGTGTGGTATGAAGAAGATCACCTCTGCAGAGAGAAGTAAAGACAAAATCAATGGGGGGGGGGGAGGGGGGAGGCAGAATTATAGTAGCATCCTTACTAGAGGGAGAGCTGAGGTATATACATTTAAAGCAGGAAAAAGAGCCCTAACTGAGCATGCTAAATACTGTGCTTGACCCTTTTCTTGTCTAAACTAGTCCCACTGATATCAGGTATACTAGGCTCCTCCAGATAGGACACACCAAAACCAGCATGCTGTGCAGGGAATCCCGTAGAGTTGGCCACGAGGTTGCCTTCTCCTACTTTCCGTTGAAAATAATAGAAGGCAGCAATGCTAACATCATGTTTTTGGGTTGTTTTGTTTTGTTTTTTGCCTCCACCCAGATCAACAACACAGCAGTTGGACATGCGATCGTCCTTCCAACCAGCGGCAGCCAGCTGAACGACACCATCCGCAGGCTCTTGACTTGTCATGTTTGTCTGGGTAAAGCATCCAAATTCCCTTCTAGACTGTGCCAGATCCTTCTGGTTGCACAGCAGTTGGTTGTCAGTGGTACAGAAGGGAAGCCCAGCTAAGAGCCAGCTCGTTTGCTGCTGAAGACAAGGGATCCCTGTTTAGGCTGAGCACATTTGCATTGTGACTAAGGCTCACTGTTCATTAGGGATGTTCTCCAAGTTGTAAATGGGAGCTCTGTTTTTCAGCTAATATCTCTATCATATGATAGAGACTTTCAGCAGAGATAAGGGAGGCTTATCTTCAGCTCCTGCAGGTGATTAATCTGCTGTATTTCTGCCCTAGATGTGTGTGAACCCGATCCCATCTGTGGTTACGGCAGTCAAAGACCTGTATTCAGAGATAGAAGGGCAGCCCCGACAGATATAGACACTGACATGGCCTTCATCATGGACAGCTCAGCCTCCACCACACCTCTGCAGTTCAATGAGATGAAGAAGTACATTTCCCACCTCATAAGCAACATGGAAATCAGCTCTGAGCCAAAAATATCTCAGCACCATGCAAGAGTGGCAGTTCTCCAGCAAGCTCCTTATGAACACGAAACCAACTCAAGCTTCCCACCAGTGAAAACAGAGTTTTCATTAACTGATTATGGATCCAAACAAAAGATCATTAATTACTTGCACAACCAAATGACTCAGCTGTACGGCACAATGGCTATGGGAAGTGCAGTTGAACACACAGTGGCTCATATTTTCGAAAGCGCACCAAACCCTCGGGATCTCAAAGTCATAGTTCTCATGATAACTGGAAAAATGGAAAAACGAGAACTCGAGGACTTGCGGGAGGCTGTAATTGATGCAAAATGCAAAGGATACTTGTTTGTTATCTTGGGCATTGGCAGAAATGTGGATGTCAAGAATATCTATAGCCTAGCTAGTGAGCCGAATGACGTGTTCTTCAAATTGGTCTCTAAACCTGGAGAGCTCCATGAAGAACCCTTGCTACGCTTTGGGAGACTGCTGCCATCTTTTATCAGAAGTAAGTATAACATCCAGCAGCCAACATGGAAGGGGCAACACCTGACCTCAGTGGGAATAATCTGGCAGATTGTGCCTGCCTGCTGGGCAGTCTCTGTCATGACCATCAAACTGGGCAGTAGTACCACTGCAGAAGTAACCTTGTTTTATATGTTCTATAACTTTGGGTGTTTTGTTACTGCCTGTAGGTCTGTCCAATTGTCTCTGTCTTTGTTTTGGGGTCCTTTCAGGCAACCCACCCCACGCACCTTTTTGATCACAAAATGGCCTGGGTTGAAAAGGACCACAATGTCCATCTTGTTTCAACCCCCTGCTGTGTGCAGGGTCACCAACCAGCAGACCAGGCTGCCCAGAGCCACATCCAGCCTGGCCTTGAATGCCTGCAAGGATGGGGCATCCACAGCCTCCTTAGGATCCACCAAGTAGAGTCTGTGTGTGCATCTAGCTTGGCTTGGCCTCTCCAGGCTCACCTTGAAGATCTAACCTAATTGTGCCTGGCACGCTAGCTGATCTGCAATGCATCTCATTGGGTCCTGGTTGTGCTTAGGCTCTGAATTGCAGCTCATCTTGCAGTAAAATAATAAGCCAACATGTACACATCTTCCCAGACAAATGTTTAGTTTTTCTCATTTTGATTTTTTTCCATCCACTGCTTATAGGGATCCTGGAAACTTCCAACCACACTTCTAGTATTTTACTGAGAAGTGCTTTGCTATGAGAACACTGTTTACATGTGACTAAAACAACTATCTAGTATCTTGCAGTTACTGCTTTTTGTATGTTGGAATAACAAGTCTCTCCGCTCAGGATGCTGCACTAAACATCAAAAGATAGTCCATAGCTTTTAACAAGAAAAGAGAAAAGCTTTTTAAATCAAGAAGAAATACACATAATGCAGTGTTGGTAGGTAACAATCACCTTCAGCAATAGTGTTTAATGCTAATCTTCCTCCATCTCTAGGTGACTTTGCTTTCTACCTATCTCCAGAAATAAGGAAACAGTGCAAGTGGCTTCAGGGTGATCAAACACCCAAGAGCCCTGGGCATACTGGACAAAAAGCAGTGTAAGTAGACCTCCAAAATTCTGTTTCTATAGTATTTGGGAAAATAATGAATATGAAAAATGGACATATGAACTGCTTTATTGCTCTGATAGATATGCAGCCCCCAATGCAACCGTAACCCAAACCATAAGCACCACCACCACGCTAAGCACCACCATCAAGCCTGCTGCAAGCACCAGTGCCCACGCCAAGACCACCACTGCCAGCACCACAGCCCAGACCAAAGCCACGGAGAGGCCCACAGAGAGCACTACTGTCCAGGTGAACGCTACTGTACAGAGCCAAGGAAGCACTGCTGCCAACACAAAAGCCACCAGCCGCACCACAGCGAGCACCACGGCTGCAGCAGCGAGCGGCAGGAGAAGACAAGGTGGTACGTAAAAGGCTGTCCCCATGCCTCATGTCACTTTCTTGTCTGGGTTTCTCTGTGCTGTAGTGAGCTAGGGCTTTTTTTCCTTCCCAAGAGGGTCGTCCTAACAGGAAATGTCACTAGGAAGCCAGGTTTTGCTCTTGCAGAAAGGCATTAAGAGCAAAGCCGGAAACTTGTACTGGTTTCTTCTCAGAAAGAGAGGTGCTGCAGTGGAACAGCTGTCCAGGGAAGTGGTGGAGTCACCATCCCTGGAGGTATTCCAGAGCCATGGAGATGTGGCACTGAGGGATTTTTTGTGGGCAGTAGGCAAGGTGGGGATGCATTCACAGTTGGACTTGGGAATCTTAGAGGTCTTTTCTAACCTGAAAGACTCCAGGATTTAAGAATGGGACAATCCATCACCTGCTGCCCAGCCCAGGAATATGGTGACAGAGCCACACTCTTTCTAGTGTGGCTCCTCTGCTTTCGGTGTTTTTATCCCCCGAGCTATGTTTTGCTATTTATGGTGATTCATACAGCAAGGTTGCATGAGATCTCTGTCAGCTAATATAAATAGCTGAAATTCATTCATCACTGAATCACTGTGGAGGCCTCGTTGGGAATGATAAAGCTCTTCCATATGAGCACAGAGCATGTAAAGAAGCCTTCCCAAGTGCTCCTGCAGGGGGGTGCAGGCAGCTCTCTGCAAGTAACAAAGAACATCTGTCAAAAGCAAAGCCAGTTGATGAACACATCTCCATGTAAAAACAGCATTTGCAAGGTCAATGCTTTCATCTGTTTGCAGGAAACAAGCTTTTTTGGGTATTTCTTGTTCCACTGTTGCTTCCAAGCAACGTTAAGGCTTCATGCAATGCTCTTCCATAGCAGGAAAACCTTTCTCTAACAGCTTCTGTGACTTGCCTAAGGTTACGTTAGGTCTGAGGCAAGCTTTGCTTTAAGATCCTCATCCAGGCCATGAAAAAGAAAGCCCCCCTGCAGCACGCTGGGGATCAACATGCCACAAGTCGATTCTCACTTCTCTTTGAGACTTTCCAGACCCTCATGTAGTTTCTCTCCCTATTCCCAAACTGCAGCAAAGATGAATGACATCCAGATCACGGATGTCACCGAGAACAGCGCCAGGCTGCGCTGGGCCAGCCCTGAGCCACACAGCGCCTACGTGTTTGATCTCACCATCACCTTAGCACACGACCACTCTCTTGTGCTGAAGCAAAACGTCACCGGCACCGAACGTGTCATTGGGGGCCTCAGAAGTGGACAGAAATACCTCGTCTTCATTACAGGCTACCTGAAATCCCAGCCCAAAGTGACCTACACGGGGACATTCAGCACAAGTGAGTTCCTCTTGGTGAAATACCAACATTCATTCCTATTTTTCCCCCCCTATTTTAAGACGACAGGCACAAAGCATGAAAACAAACATATAAGGAAGGGGGAAAAAACAAAACAAAACGTCAATACGAATGATCCCAACTCTGGCAACGCTCAGTTGTGTCACTGTTTTCCAGGTATCCTCTGTCCCCATTTATGAAACATTGGAATTCTTTGGCAAATGCGAAGTGACACTTCAGAGGTGTTAAACTGACCCAGATCGTGGGAGAACTAAAGCCAGTCCCAGAGGGGTGTTTGTCTCATTGTGCGTGCTGAAGGCTTTGCACAATGAGTCCTGCTAATGTCCAGACAGTAATTATTAATAAGAGCCAAACAGGGTTGACAGAGAGGCAATTCAGATGAGCCTAATTGCAAAATAAGCAAGAAAAGCTGTTTCTTTCATAATGATCTTCACAGTCACTATCTGCTTCACATACCACAATATCCAAATGAAGCATTTAGAAAGGGTGAAATGGTGAATCTAGTCTTTTGAGGCTCAAGCTCCACGTACAAAGATCACATGTAAAACTCACCAAACCCTTTGGTATGGCCAAAAGTTGCTGTATAAGAGAAAGCCAACTTTTTCCTTTAGTAGCTCGGCACAGAGGTGCCTTGGCTCGATGATGTGGCAAAGTCTGTGCCGGTGCCACCAGTTGCTGTCCCTGGCTGTTCTGGCACCTTTAGAGCCTGCAAGGAGCCTTTCTTTTGGTTTGAATGGGTTTGGAT